TTAGCTGTGTCTGGTGCAGAATTCAAACAATGTATGAAGTGAGGCCTATAGCCAAGTGATTTTGCACATAGCTGAAATGAGAAATGCCCAAAGATGGATGAGGAATGGCAGCTGCGCCAGGATAATGTCCCATTCTGGTAAACAAGTGTGGACTCGGTCGGGGCACGACCGTTGTGCCAGTCCAAGGGGTGCACTATGTGGCAAAGAATAGACACCACCTCTTGATTTATCCCCTCTTCAAACCCTCCAGCTCTTCCGACTTGTCTCCAAAAGCCTCATGGATCAGTGATTCCAGAGACTTTCGCAACTCGGGGAGGAACAACCCCACCACAAAGGCCAGGTCTCCTGTGCAACCTTGCATGTCCCTGCTGTGGTTTATCCCATCTGTCTGCAAAATCAAAGAGGAGGATTTAATTTCGTGCCATTGAGAAGGAGAACACCAGATCACAAGAGGGCAAACTCTGAATCTCTGCCTCATGTGTCGATATCAAGGAGAGAAGCTGGGATGTGGCCTTTTAGCTGCCAGCATCCCTCCTGCAGAAGGGTGCTGGGCAAACCAAGGACACAATGCAAAATTTTGAAAATCCTTCTAGGTGAATCCAAGCCATTTTGTCCAACCTAAACTGATATCTATTTTTATCCAAGCCATTTTGTCCAACCTAAACTGATTATCTATTTTTTTTTAATTCTTTGTAAAGCTTTTTAATTGTCTCTGAATAATTTTTTGGTTTTTAGTAGAAAATGGGTTAAAAAAATCAGTAATTTTGCTTGATAAATGTCTAAAAGCTAGAACCTGTTGATGTTCTCCCTCCAATGCCTTTGAAGCCATGACCCCATGGGAGCAAATGAGAAATAATATATTGTAGTGCTAATTCGTGCGATATTACTCTCAGTCAACCTTCAAACACCAGTGTGACCAGCTCCACCAGGAATCCCAGGAACTGGTCTCTTAGACCTGTAGGCTTTCTCCACAGCTCCTGGCTTCTTGCCCACTCGGTGGCTGTCACTGCACTTGCTTGAGAGCTTCTCACTGGAAAAGGATTTGCCATTCTCTGGGAAAGGGGGATAATACTAGAAAAAAGAGCAGCCCATTCCATTGGAGAGTGATGGAGTGGGGGACCAGGTCCTCACATCAAGCAGGTAAGAAGGTACCATCTAAACTTCCTCCTGGCCCAAAGGGACATACAGTCCCTCCTGCTGACAATGTGGTCATAGGGCTTCACAAGACTGTGGGAAGCCCTCAGCTTGGCCAGCTGGAATTTCTGACGAAACCATTTGTTTGACCAATAATCACGACCCAGGAGCAGGTAGGAGAAATGGCTTTTCACCCTAAAAGCCCTTCTTTTCCTGTTTTTCACTATCAAAACACACTGAACATCTCTAGAAATGGATAAAGAAAGTAGTTTTCTGGTGGTATAGACTGCCGTTGAGTGACCCAAAGCCTGCTGAATGTCACTGCTTTTTTCCATTGATTTAAACCGAAAGAGGGCAGATTTAGATTGAATATAAGAAATTCTTTATAGCAAGGGTGATGAAGCACTGGCCCAGGTTGCCCAGAGAAACTGTGGCCACCCCATTCTAGAAGGTGTCCAAGGCCAGGTTGGATGGGGCTTTGAGTAACCTGGGCTGGTGGGAGGTGTCCCTGCCCAGGGCAGGGGACAGAATTTGGACTAGATTATTTTAAATTGTCCCCTCCAACCTAAACTGTTCTGAGATTCTATGAAAAATTGAAAAGGTGTGGGATAAAGTCCTGAACTGCAATGAGCTCTGGCTCCCAAGTCAGTGCGATAGCAGAAGCCGGGCTGCTGGGAAATGCCAGTCTACACCAGTAAGAGGACTGGGATGTCAGTGTGTAGTCCTACACTGAGGTACTCACTGTTACTCTGAGGAGCTATAATGATTAGTAATTTGGACATGTTTGGATTTATGGCCTGTCTGAATTTCATGTACAATTTTCATAGTCTGTGTCGCAATTACAAAAATTGCAAGTAACTTTTTAATATCAATGTTAAAAAAACCCAGACAAATCTTTCGCAGCATTTTTATTGCCTATTTACAATCTCAAATGAAATGGTTTACAACTTTGTGTTGTGAAAATATACAACGTAAGAAAACACTAGCCTGGCAAAATTATGCTTTTATGATAATGACAGGGATGAGTGATAGTTACTCTAGTTAAAGTCTAACGGCTGCACAGATGCTGGGAAAAAGCTATTTGTACAACACGTTTTGCCACCACAAGCATGGCACCTGCTGGCTTCACCACGGTACATATAAGAGCATGTTAGCTTTTCTTTATGAATATTATTTTCACAGATTATAATTGGACCATAAACATTCACTTGGGGATAAAATATCAGTATGCAGGCTTTAAAATGTACCTTGAGAAATTCTCAGCCAGTTTTGCATATCTGGGTTTCAGAAGCAAGTTTATGAGAAATAATATATCATTTGTTTCTGATCCTGTAGGACTCAAAAATGGTCTGAGCTCTCCTTATGGTCTATACGAATTTGTAGCAGGTGATATTTATTTTGGTGATATTTACAGAGCCAGGAACTAAATCCTCCAGCCCACTGCTGGCTATCAGGAAATAATAATATTTATCCACAGAGTATCTGTGACCCAAATGGCAATGGCAGGAGTTTCCTACGCGTCCTGCTCCCAGCCCTGGCCCCACGCACCCCTGAGGACACCAGCTCAAGGACACCAGTGCTGGTTGTTATCACCTCCCTCTGCTTGCTGGATCCAGTCTCACAAACCAGCCGAGGAGGTGGAAATGGAATCTAAGTATTACTTTCCACTGTGATGGGTGAGGAACAGGGTGGCCACGAGCTCTTGGACAAAGAGTAGAGCCAACCACCAGCCGTAACACATGTTATAGACATGCCAGACATGGGCAAGCTGATTAACTCACCACAGCAAGAAAATACAGGAATTCAGGGAAATAACATTTCTAAACCTATGGCACTGCAATAATTTTATGTAATTGCCATTACAGAAAAATATGCCTACTATATACTGTCAGTAAATATGTAAGGATTTTGGTCAAAGTGTATTGTCTGACCTTCTTAACAAGACAATTTTCATAAATAGAGTATGAAGAACTGAAAAAAAGGTGCTGACAGATGGTGTAAAATTGGAGTCACCTAATCCAGTTCTGTTTTATAAAAATTCTTACAAATTAGAAGCAAGACTCTTTGAATTACTGCAATTCCAGTGAGGTAAAACACCTCCAAAGAGAGGGACCACTGCTGAAAATCAAAGTGGACCTTTGCTTGTGTCTCAAGGATCATGGTTTTTAGCAAGAGAAAATCTTCCCAAGTCTGTGGCCCAGCTTCATCTTTACTTCAGACCTTCTCAGTGCAGCCGGACAGAGCGTGAATGAAGAACAGACATTATATATTTCATTCTTCACCACTGAACCTGCTCTATCTTGCTCAATATTAAAGCCCTGCTAATGCGACAGAGCGTGAATGAAGAACAGACATTATATATTTCATTCTTCACCACTGAACCTGCTCTATCTTGCTCAATATTAAAGCCCTGCTTAGGCAGCAGAAGCTGACCCTTTCCATTAAGACCTCCTCCGCAGCGGATGCCTCATGCATATGCCTATTGATGTATTTTAGAGTGGAGATAATTATTTATTTTGGGGTATCTGCTCTGGCTTCAGGTTCCCAAGAAAACACCTCTTGTATCTATTTCTTTTGCGCCATGTATTTCCCCTTATTCCCTGCTATAATGTATTGTTATATTCCACCAAAAAAAAAGCTTTCTTATGTCCATCTTTGTCAAATCTCTAGGAGCCACTTAAGCGTCACTTTAAAGGGCTCTTTATCACTTGGAGGAATTTTCCCCTAATTGTATCCTTTAAGTCCAACAGGGGTTTGGGGACATACTTTGTATGAAAGATGCTACAGAAAACAAAAGTTGCATCGCTAGTGGTTTTGCTTTTATATTTCCACGCAGGTAACTCTCTGCACACCAATTTGCTTTCTCTTTTGCAATACCCATTTCCTCCTGGGGCTAGTTCCTGGGACAGAGCTGTCTTCAAATAATTTAATTATCATGTGGCATACACCTTTTTTAGTCCCCCCTGAAATGGTGCGTGATGCCTTTGGTTTACATCACTTGTTGGAAAACACTCCAAAGCATTGAAAAACTATTAAATTGTTACAGTATTGGATGCCAACACACAGGGCTATTAGTCTAATTCATCCTTCAGATCAAAGCCCACACAGGCAGCTCTCCTGCCTACAGCTATTTTCCTTTTACTTTCCTGCTTGACAGTAGTCCCTCATATCCCTCTGTTCTACTTTCTTTGAACATACACATTTTCCTTTAGTCATGGAAATATAATTTATGTCTATTATACCGTATTATAGATTGCAGATCAGGACAAGCGTGCATTACTGCCTGGAACGTCTGTTTATTGTACGTCGGGTTTCTAAAAATAAATAAATAAGAGAGCCACGCTGCTTCGCGGGGGA